TTAAGGGGTTTGTTTCAAGATCACACATAAATTCAGCACTTCTAAAGTAAACCAAACAACAAAAAGAAAATCACTTTAACATTTATTTGAAAAACTGTATTAAACAAAAAGATTACACAGGATAAGGAAAATCAGAAAAAAGAACAACACAACAAGCATTGAGGCCAGAAGGTGCTCAAGCCCAAGAAACACAAACACATCTGTTTCACAGCAAATTTCCCTCAAAATAAAAGTACCAATGAATTCCAGACTGTATTCACTTTTTTTTTCCCTTTTTTGTAGTAAATATTACACTTATTTAGAAGGGCACTGCTGTATTACAGTTTCTTAAAAACAATAAAAAGGTAGCTAGTAAAAATTTAGACCATCAGCAGCATCTGGTATAGTACAAGATCAAAATGAGACAACAGAGTTGTGTAACTCACTGAAAACTCTTTATGCTCCTCCTATAAAAAATACTGTCCTTGGCTTTGAAAAAACACCAAGATCAAAGGTTTCATTAATATTCAAAGTACGCAAATGGCACACTAATCAAAGTCCCTAATCCAAAAGATTTACTGGCTCAAAATAGACTTTTGGCGTGATCCCAATTGAATGTCACCATGGCTGAAATGCCCAGAACATAGGGGCAGGGGATTATATCTAAACACAGCCATTTAGGGCGCCTGCAATTCCAGCTCACATCACAATGCGATATTGGCAGTTGCCAGAATGAATTACGCCATCCTGCTCTTCGCTGAGGCTATTTCTTTGGCCAGATTATTTCTTTTTTTTTTTTTTTCTCTTGTCAGTGCAGCTTAAACACATGCAGAAATCAGCACAACAGGGGGCTTTACACCCACATCTTCAGTGAAATTCGAACAAGTCGTCACACTCGCAAAGCAAAGGAAGCGCCAGAACCATCATCCCCCCGCTCTTTGAGCGATCTCACACAAGATATGAGACCCACAGCACGCGGTGCCACGCGCTTTGAAAACCAGCAAGCAGCAAACCCGAGGGCAGAGCTTGGGCTCCCATCCTCTGCCTCACCCCCTGCAAGACGTCTGCAAGAGGTTTCGGGTGGGCAGGACAGAATTCCACACACAAGTCCAAAGGGGAGGGAAGGTGGTTTGTTTCCAGCTGTTTTCACAAGCCTCGACCAGCAGATCAGATACAAATGCAAACAGTTAATATTCACAGAGCAACTTCTTGTACCTAAATGTTATAATAGATTTAACATCATTAATAAATATATAAAACAACACGTTAATCTCACAGACAAAACACGTTTCAAAGGTCAGCATTGACTGGAATATCTAGGCAGTTTGGTCCTTGTTTAAAGCACTGAAGAATTATACACAGGTAATAATGTGAGTGTTAAGAACAGGCTCACAAAATACAAACTTAAGCTTGGTTCAACATTTCTGAAGAGGCTCTGAACTGGCCTTTGAAGCTATTCTGAATGGCCTTCAAATGAAGGCCCTTGCAGCCGTTGCATATTTAAGAACAGAAGAAACTCCTTTACGCTGTACACATCTCAGCACTTCACCTCCATCAGCTGCAAAGCAGGTATCCCCCAGGGACCAGCACACCCAGGTGAGTGAACCTGTCCCAAACCATGCTGCTCTGCGTTTCATACAGTCTCATGCTGAAGGAGGAGATCACCTAGAAAGCACTTAAAAGCCTTCATCTGGGAGACAGCAACCGAGGCGCTCACTCTAAGCCCTGACACAGACTTCTGTCATCCTAAACCAGGCCCTTTGTCTCTCTGTCTCAGTTCATCTGCCTCTGAAAGGAGAGGCAGTAATTCCCTGGCTCGCGGTACTGCAATGAGGCTTAATTTCATAAGGTGCTTTTGAAGAGTCTCAGAAAAGGCCCTGTAAAAGTGCAGCTATTATAATGTCAGAAACACGGACAGAGGCGTGCGTCCCACCAGCCTTTCCCGAGATACCGGTGTGCAAATCTGGACGAGATGAAGACTCGTGCATGGTCACGCTTCAGCAGTCCCATCGCAGCAGCTTCGTTTTCTCACGTAGTTTTGAACATGCTTCACATTTCCAGGGTGCAACAGAATTACTGAGCTGCCCCGTTTCGCAGACCGTCTCCAGTCTCCATTTGTTCTAATGGGCCAAATTCGGGATGTGTGACCGGGGACTTCCTTTGGCCTCGGAGAGTGTGTGCATTCAACATCTCCAGCAGCAAGTCATACACTGGGACCACATTTTTACACTTCATGCTCAGGAGATGCTCCATTCCCTTGTTACTGTGAAGGAGAACAGAAAATAAGTCAGTGATCAGGGGATGACTATGCAGCGAAGGAAAAACAAGCTCATGGCTTCAAGAGATTCCTTTTTTATGAGGAGTTAAGAGGATTTAGCTGCTCTAGTCCCTGAGATCACTTACCACCATCAACAGTAACAACATCCCAATGCTTTAAGGCTGTTTTCCTGTTTAGAGAACCGAGATTTGTTTTACACCTCACAAACTGGCTTCGGACGTACCCACTCTATTGAAATCAAGGAGAAAACTTCCTTGGTGCTGTAAATGTGGGAGGCCCACATGCTGCAGCTTTAGACAAAAGGGGAATTTAGAATGTGCCGCTCTAATGACTGCCTACCTCTCCTGCCTGGCTGAGCAGGAAGACCAAATTCCCCTGGCTAACTTCAAGCAGTTTGTTTCCTCTCTGCATGTCCTGTGTCAGATCTTGCAGATGGCTACAGGCTTTAAAAGTAATTTTTTTTGTTATGGGGCAAGATACAATGGGAGCTTGTACGCTCTGTGGCTGTATCATGACCGGGATTAAAAGGAGAAGGCTCTTTGTGAAATATATAGCAGTTGGACACTCACACACACACACATATATATGTGCTTCTGATGTACTCAGGGTTTTGGGGTTGAAAACAAAGTGCACTTGCTCAGCACCAAATTTGTCACAGTGGAAAAGACAGCAGCTAGCCAGCACATAGCTGACCTGGTGGATTGGATTGGGAGGGGCGCAATGCTTCCAGAAAAACGAGGTTCTGCTGCAGCTCAAGAGTTACAATTATATTAATGGAAAAGAAGAATGGACTCTCTCCTACACCCAGCTCTTGGGAGTCCCACATCATTTGGTAATCAAGGCTGAGAGCATCAATTATTTCCAGAACAGTATAATCGACTGACCAGTGCTAAGCAACGTAACGGAGACAAGTCACAAGTAGCCTCCAGACTTCAGCAGAGGCAGGCACAACATAAAAACTCTTGTTTTAATACAGAAATATAAAAAAAAAATTGCAAAGATTCACAATGTTTATTCACACCATGCCAGAATAAGAGCTGCTGCGATGCTGTGACAGTGTCACACCACAGTGGGCATCCCAGGTGACAGCAGCACATCAGTGCCCTGAGTCGGGCGCAGTTCTGGCTGCTGCTGTAGCTTCTGTGGGGCCAGCTCTCAAACTCACCCCCAATTCACAAACTGGCTGTTAGAAACTACTTGTTGGGACAGTCAGGTCCCTGCTGCTGCCACCCGCTCTCCCAGGAAGCTGGTCTCAAAGGTGGCTGTCCTTTCTCCAGTGTCCCTACACAAAGTCAGACAAGACCAGCTCTCCATGCTCCAGCCTGGCCCCAGGACACACACTCCACAGCCAAGACAGAAGACAGCTTTCTGAATAGCTGGTTTCTGGGTAGTAATTGAAAATTACAAGCAGCCTGAAAATTAAAGCATCTCTTTTATAGAGCCCTGCTTTTGAGTCTGCTGTGATGCAAGCAAAGATGAGCGGCTCAAGGATGGCCAGGACCTGGCAGGGAGCAGAGGAGCTGCTTCCCATGGGGAACACAGGAGCGTGGCATCACTGTCGCACAAGTCACAAGACCTAATAGTTGCCCCTGGCATGCAACAAATTTGTCCTGGGACAAACATAGCACCCAAAGTACACTTTGCTCCACCAAAGCCCACACTGCAGATCAATTTTGAAAGACTTCTATTTTGGACAGAAGCGTTTTGATGGCTGGGTGGGGGTTTTTTTGAAAGGCTGAATACATAATGAGCAATTTGATGTAACACAGTTAAGACGGCGTTTTAATATCAGCACAACATTTCTGAGTGCTGGCAAGCACTTGAGTATATTGCCCATTTAGTTATGCTGGGAAGGAAAGCCTGACAGTGAACAGAGACGACGAGCAGCACCAGGATCCCCTCAGGAGTGCTTCCGAGTTCAAGTCTTGCTTGGTTGCCATAATAAACCAACACTAACGCCTTACATGTTACACACTTTCTGTAAAATTTACCTGGCGTGTCTGACGTGAGAGAGGAGCATCAACAGATTGGCCAGACGAGTTGTCTGCTGCTGCGAGGGGATCCCGCTCTTCGCGATGACCCACACCAGGGCATCTGTGACTATGTTAAGCAGGTGATGCAGTTTCCTGTTGCTTTCAGGTTCTTCTGCTGACAAGGGAAACATGCCTAACCAGGGAAGAGAAAGAAATACTCCCTGCTCATGAGGAAGAAGAAAAAGCTACGACTAGATTTTTTTTAATGTAATACTTCAACAGGATCAGAGAAGATGTATTTCCTGAGCCCGCTTCAACACTGTACAAACAATGCTCCGTGTGCCACAACAAGCTTCCACTCACATTCCTTTGCCAAAATTTGACAGCCACAACATTCTCAAACTGAGTAACTCTCTTAAATCTTCCCAAGACAACATGTTGAACACAGACCCTTCAGTTCAGAGAATGGCAATGCTCTCACTTCTCCAGGGTTTTTTTCCTTTGAATCACTCTGTACCTTGTAGTTTAGTAACTATGATGAATGACAGCATTTTGCTTGTCTAATCCCTTCTTGCTGAAAAAAACCTTTTTTTCTCTGAGTATAAATGAGGTTGGGGGTATGGAGAGGAGAAGAAAGAGAAAAGAAAGCACCACTAGAAAGCTCTGGAAACACACAGTGAGATTATTGATAGAGCAGAAGACACCAGAGCAAAAAAGCCAAAACAAGCCAAAGCAAAACAAAACAAAACAACCTCCCAAAGATATTTATGGAAGGACAAAGCTCCAGAACACCATGAAAATTAGGAGTAAAAGTTTAACTGACAGGAAGGGAGAGCAGGGAAAGGAGAGATTCTTTGAGAGGTGAGGTTTTGAAGAAAATATGGCTGATGAACACGGGGTTTTGTTGGGTTTTTTGATTGGTTGTTTGGTTGTTCTGGGTTTTTTTTAAGAAAAAAAGAACAGCTTTTGTTGTCAGTTGCAGTAATGTTATCCATCTATAAACAAGTGCGACGACAGCTGGACGACAGCCCTTCAGAACTGGGCTGAGAATTATGCAGCAGCTCCTTGATGAAAACAGTAGATGTAAATAGTTAGCTGTTGGACTTTTTTGACAACATTAATTACAAAATATTCTGGGGAATAAAATTATTTTACTGCAGACTACCCTAAACTAGCAAACACACCGTCCTCTTTGCCATGTGTAAAAGGCTGCCAAGAAAAGCTCCTATCCTGAAATTCATCTTGCAGACCTGTTGAGTACTTTCAATCATTTCTACCAATTAATTACCATTAAATAGGAATATTTAAGCCCAAATAATCATCACTCAGTCGAGTAACTAGTTTTACTAGAATTAAGAATTAAGGACAGGTTTGTAGAGCTGTACAGCAACTTTACACAGGACCAGTATCCACAGAGATAGGGGCAGAAGATCTCATTGAAAAGGACGTACCCACAGACTGAGCCGTGACCCCCACCTTGTAAGAAGCTTTCAGACTTTGGATCTTTCATGCAGTTCTTATAACATGACATCAACCCTAAACCCAGCAAATTATAAACCTCAGAAGTTTCTTGAGAAAAAATCCTTATGATCTGATAGTTAGAAGTCCTTTGCTATTATTCTCTTTCAACGGCTTTATCTCATTTGATATTTCTGCGATTTTTTGAGGCTGATTTCCCAGCCACCATTCAAATAAAAAAATACAGTTTGGTGAGCTTCAGAGTCAACCGCGTACTCACTGGAATTGAGGAGGATCATCGCCTTGACACACAGATACTCCTTGTGCTGCAGTTTCAGCTCTCGGAACCTCGAGGTCATGGCCAGGAGCATATCAAAGATCTCCAAAATTCCCTCTACGCATTTCCCCTCGTCCCTATGGAAACACATTTAAAATGTTACTGAAAAAGTAGAATTAAGGAACTCTGACTCAGTTAGATAAAAGTCAAAGCACAAAGGAGTCTGCAAAAGACCTGTCTGTCTCATCTTTGGGAGAATTCAAAAGGTTCTGTCATGAAATCTAAACTGAAAATTACACTAGTATAAAAAGCCAGCACCTCTAAGAAACTGATTTTCTCTTTAAAGTGCATATAGGATTGACTGCAGGTAAGTGTGACCATATTTCTGTAAAGGCTTTAACCTCACAGCCGGTATAATTCTGGATCAAAAGTTTGAAACTGTAGCGCAGAGTGCAGTACCACCTCGAGTCTTTTCCTACATTTGTTTCACAAGGAGTTAACACCACAAGCGCTGACATCACTCTTTGCACCTGACAGAGGCCTCAGGAGCTGGTAAATAAGAAAGACCCCCTAAAATAAGGTTATTGGACTAATAAGACATTTTTAAAGAATAAAACAACCTGTACCCTCATCCCCCAGCACCTTTTTCTTTGAAGGTCTTTAAATGTAAATAGATTTGGGGGGTTTTGGTATTTGGTTATTTTTATGTTTGCAAGTGTTTACTGAATGCAACTTTCTCCATTTTAGATATTAGAAATGGTCCCATTTTCTAATCTGAAAAAAAAAAAAAAAAACCACAAACAAAAAAAACCACAAAACCCAAACAACCCAAATCCATTCCAATGAGTTTAAAATTAAGCAGCAGCAAATTTCAGACCACTGAAGCTATTGTTCCAGTTTTTTGGTCAGGTTTGGGGTTTTTTTTACATGTACTGGTCTAAAAAAGCAATTAAGCTCTAAGACACAACATTCAAAGGGATGCTTAATCTGTAAAACAAGATTATTTCCCCTGTAATGTTTTAAAAGACAAGACAGACTTAAGAACAGCAGTGTGAGAGAATTAAAGACCTTTATTCCTCTAGTGGATCTCAAGAGGAAGGTGCTGAGCCTGCAGGCTGCAAGGCAGGCACAGGCAGATAACACCAACCAGGTGCAGCTACTACTGCCTGCAGAAAGGCCTGAATATTGCCCAGTTTCCCATTTTCCTCATAGCAAAGGAGGATTTAAATTATCTTTGGAGAAGGGCAGGCAGCTGCCAGTTTCAAAAGAAAGACACAAGCATCAGAGAGGTACTTGTCTACAAAGATTATGTAGGAAATGTATCTGAAGTTCAGTTAAGATAAAAACAATCAAGTTACAGACCAGTTTCATATACACGTCTTAAAAAAAAATAAAATTACAGCATGCCCAGATGCTTGCTACCTCCCTCTCTCCTGTGTCTTGTGGAGATGAAGGAATGCATCTAATAAGGTAACTATATTCAGCACATATTAGCTCCCAAGGAACTAAATGTATCATACATTTTCAGCAATTTCTTATCATCGCATCAAACAACGCAGCATGTCCTTGCATTGAATTTTATACGAGCAAATAATAATTCATTTCATATATCTTTAAAATTAAATTTATTTCTCTTACCAACCCATTCTGCTTTCTGTATCTCGATGATGATTATTATTGAGCTCAAGCAACAGAACTGGTACAGATCTGAATTTCCCCAGGTTGAAAAGGTTAAGAGGCATTTTAAACCCACCCAAAAGAGTAGACTGTTTCCCTGACTTTTTATCAACGTGAAGCCCAGGTCAAATCCTAAAGTCCTGTAGAAAAATACCTTTACTAATCCATATTCTTCCCTGCTGGTACATGATGTTATGAAGAAATAATTTTTAATCTTGCAAGCATCCCACTTTAGCTTGAAAAAAATACTTTCAGTATTAAAAAGCAATCTAGGGTTTTTTAATCCCTTTTGACTAGTGCTGCAGTGTTCATTATTATAGCTACTTATGAAGTCTGCATTGATTGACAATGTAGTGCACTGTGTCGATGTGTCTACGGTTTCAGGATCTAGAGACCTGGACCGAAAGGAACAAAACCAGCAAAAGGTGTGAAAAATACAGAGAAACTTCAGACTGTCATGTGCTACAGGAATTAAGGAACTGGCAAGCTCAACAATACATGTTTAGCATTCCTTAAGCCCCTGTGAGGGTGTGGAGCCTCAAGACATTATTGTTACAAATACAAGGATGTTGTTAGATAAACTATCAATCGTATCTTCCATACTTAATTCTCTTCCTCTCACCATTCACCCCACCTCCAAACATGCTAATTAATATGAAGTGGTCTCGAGACGGTTATTTCTCTTACCGGTCTAGTACAAGGTCTGGTGCAAAAATTAGTTTCCCAGGGTGGTCAATTGATCTCCACATCAAACCAACCATTAAAACTTCCATCCAGCAGCTCTCCAAGAGTCTTACTTGGTCATAAAGGCTGAGATCAATGAAGCCTAAAATGACAAAAATAACATAAAATAAATAAATCTGTTTATTTCTTTGCTTTGATAAAGAAGACTGAATATACGAGAAACCAAAAGAAAGCATTATCGGTTGTGAAGAAAGGCAGAAAAGGGAGCACTGGCATCAGACAGACCATGCTGCCATCTCAAACAGGAACATAAATATTTGTTATTATCATTGTCAAAAATTCCACAAAACATTTAAAATAAAGCAGAGTCGTGTTCAAGTGTAATTACCCCCATGCAGCTGGTGAAACTCAAGTGACTGCAGAGAACTGCCTTATGCTTGGCCACCTCTTTAGATGATGGTCCCACAGCCTCCTGAGAGGGACCAGGATTCACTCGTGAACCTCATATTTGGCAGACGTTACTGAATTACACTGCAGAGGACTCCAAAGAAATTAGTCTGTTCTTTCCCCAGAACACATATGGTTGTCACGTGCAGGGTGGTTTTTTATCTCATAAGACAGGCATGTTTCTCAGCTTGTTGAGTAACTATGAAAGAACCCACATCTTGGTGCCTCTGTGTTATCATTCCCTTGGTAAATGATGTGTTCACCTCAGCCCATCCTTTTCCTTTCACCCCTTTCTCCAAAATTGTGATTAACCAAAAAAAAAAAAAAAAAAAAAAAGAGGGTAGGTGGTGAAGCTATTAGTGTCCCCATTGCCACCACTCGCAGCATCCTATAAGCAAGAACAGAATCAATGTGATTGTGTCACACGTGTGGAGGTGGCGCTTAGGGACATGGTGTAGTGGTGGCCTTGGCAGTGTTGGGTTTAGGGTTGGACTCAATGATCTTAAAGGTCTTTTCCAACCTCAAGGATTCTGTGACTCTGTGCATAAGCCTGTTCCAGCATTGACTTGTCTCCAGAAGTTACAGCAAGGCACAGCAACGCAGCCAGAAGGGAGAGACAGTGGTTGGCCTCCCTTTCCCTTCCCCTGCAAAAGGACTGGGGAAAAAAGATGCATAGAAGCTAAATAAAGAGAAATAAAACTAACACACAGGGAAAAGAAAAACAAACAAAACAAACAAAAAACAAACAAACAAACAAACAAAAAACAACCACAAAAAACCACCAAACCCTCCAAAATGCAGAAAACAGAAGAAGTGTGAATTATCAAAAAGCAAGTGGGAAAGCAGACTGCTCACTCAAGGAATAAAACACAGATATGATGACTATCAGTTCCATGGTTAAACTGTAGCTGTGTTCAAATCCAAGGTCAGGCCACAGTTTTCAAAGCAGAGCTGCGTTAGATAGGTCTCTTAGCAAAGGTGCTTCATTTTCAGACGAGCTGGTATCTACCACTCTGCATAATGAAAAATTATTACAGAGCCTGGTCAGGGGTGACAGGTTTCCACAGCTCTTTCCCATTGTCTGAGGTCTTAAAATATACACCGTACGTTTGCGCTATCAAAGAATCTGCCGTCAGTGATTTATACAAATGCTCCGTGTACTTTAATCTTATTAAACTGCTAGGCTGGAAGACAGTCAGTGACAGCTCCAGGTTGACATAAACCAGGTAATGCGCACTCTCTCTTATCATTGCTGGAAGTGCTGCCCTTCAAAATCGATCGCCTTGCTCCTTATTTTATAAGAAAGGTAAAGAGGAGCTTAGGAGCACTACCTTCCCTCCTGGGTTTTGCTGTCACAGAATTTACTAAAGGATCTGCAGCCAACAACAGATTATCTGCCAGACACACACTCATAATTTTAAAAGTGCTTTTAGAAAAATAATCATGGATGTGTGAATGGTATAAACTGACAGTGGCAGTTTTCTGGGAAACAACGGCCCAAAGACATTTCAGAAGTTTATTTAAATAAACATTTACACAGGCATGTGCTGATTTCTCTAGCACAAGCAACGAGTTACTTGGTTTAAGAACTCTCTCAGTTGAACAAGACGTCAAACAAAGGCCCAGCGTTCAATCTACACATAACTTGAAGATCCAGATTTATCCCAGATGTCACCTGCTAAACTCACATTATCAGCACCAGCAGTGTGATTCATGACCATTGAGCACAACTATTAGAGGGACTACATCTTTCCTTTTCCTGACAATCTAATGCTCTAAAGATCGAGCACAGCATGGAACCATCACAGCTCCTATTGCCGTGTCACAAGTCCTGTCTCATTTGCTGCAGAGTACATTAAACTACTTTTTCTATGGCTGTAGTACATGTCCTTTAAATAGTATGCTTTATAGCTAACCATTTAATTATGAAATACTAAGATAAAAAAACCCTTGTGTTTGATGTCTAGTAACTGGCAAAAGACACACTGCTCTGGCCAGCAACACCCATTATGCAACAGGTTGCATAATGGATACAAATTTCAATATTATGACAACATCCTATTGATTAGCAATACACATTCAGCTATGAACCACGTTCAACTCTCTTAGACTAGGTCAACAAAGTAAAAGGCAATTATAGAAGCTACGTTCCGCTGTCTGACAAATTAGAACTAAAATACTTGGAATTCAGAAGGAAAAAAATCCAGATGTCAGCTTCTATTTTACTGAGCAACAACAAAGATACAATCCATTAAGCTGAAAATACAGACAAAAAATACAGTCACAGAGTAAAACTCATAACAAAAGAAGGTAATTAAATCTTAAATATGGAAAAAATAAAATATAAATGTTTATCTTTCCTATTTAGACAAAAAGTTACTGTTAACATCAGCACCTACAAGGAAAAATAAAAATATTTTCTTTCAGTTTTGGTGAGTGTCAAAATAATGTCTTAGAGGTGAAAATGGGTTTCTGACCCAGGTACACAAAAGCAAATATTCAGCTTTACAGAAGTAAAAATTACTGCTCACTGGGCCATTAGTCAAGGACTCTGTATTTTTTTCTAAGACTTTACCTCTAGGAACCAGAGCTTGGATCTAGATGATTAACTCCAACCAAGAATTTTTGAAAACTAAAATTCTATATCCTGGGCTTTAGTCATCACTGTTACTTCAATGGAAAAAAAAATCCACATTGAAGTAAACACTCTAACTGCCATGCAAATGGCAATATTACTTATCATTAGGTACATATTAAACATCACATCTATTTTTGGCATTGTTCTAAAATGGTGTTTATTTCTGTTCTGTGTAACAGGAATGATAATAAAAAACAAACATACCCAATAAAGTGTCAACATTCCCTGGAACTGTTTTGAAGGGGTTTGATTGCTTCAATGGGTTTTCTTCATACAATTCTCTCATTGCCAAGAAAAAGATTTTATTTCTGATGTGTTGAAAATAAACTAAAAGTGATCATTGTCAAAACAGGGATTGGTTTGGAAACCTGATATTTTAAAAATTTCAAAAAAATTAATCTCAACTAGCTGAGGTTTTGTGTTTGTGTTTTTGGGTTGTTTTTTTTTTAAAAAAGCTGATGTAGTTAAAAAAATAGAAATTAAGAACAATCAGAAAATGGAAAAGGCTGTTTTGGGCTTTTTTCCCATTCAAATATTGCTTAAAATGAGGTCATTTTCTAAGACTTTCCCTGGTTTTCCTTTACAATACCCTTCCTACTGGATTAACATAACTATTTGGAGTCCTCTGAAACTGTACCTTTTAACCAAGTTTTTCTGATTAGACAAAAAATTATAGTGATAGACACCATTTAACCCCTTATGGTTATTTACTTCACAGTTCTTTTCAGAGTCTCTTAAATCAGGAAAAGTAAAGATTAAGGGTTCAGGCTCTCAGTTTAAAACATTCCACATTAACAGCAAAACCACCATCCCTTTGCAAATGGTCAGGGTGGTTTAAGATGCTCGTGCTGTCCGAGCATCTCTGCCCCAGCAGCTGACCTGGAATTTGCTCACCCATCACACCTGAACCTTCCAACACCGTGGCTGAGCTGTGGAGACTGTCATGGGCCAGCAGCTGAAGCTGTGGTAGCACCTTCAGCCTCTCCACCTAGCTCTGAAATAGCATACGCTTCCCTTATTCTGAATTCTTGGTTTAAGGATTATGTGAAATATTCTCCACCAAGCTTCTTTCCTGTGCTGTGTACACACTCAGTTTATTTCTAGAGGTAAGGATTACTGTCACGTCTTCCCGTGAGCGGATTCAAGCAGCAGCAGGTGCTGTTTGCAGTGCAGAAGCGTGACAAGACCAGAGCACACACCAGCACGCTCTGGTTGCCTTCAGCATAAAAATCCAAAGGAGGAGCCGTGGTGTGCTGGCTCCTCAGTCCTGGTGGGCGTGGGGTTAGGACACCAGACACACTGCAGAATATATTATCCATGCGAGGTAAGCACAGCCGTAGGGATCACTTCCAGCAGAGCACTATATCTGGAGTTAAGGATTAAGCCCCATGCTGCTATACCTCTAGCAATTAATCAGTACTACCTTCAGCTCACCGTTGTTAGTTGGTCACCTTAGGTCTTGCTAAAGGGCCACAGCCTGCAGTTAGCCAGCAAGTTTTTCTGCACAACTTTGCCAACTATCTTCTCTGTGTGCTAGCTGCTTTTATTCTGGCTTTTATTCTTTATTCTGACTGTTCTAGTCATGGGCACTTCATGGAAGGAATTGCAAACGCTCACTGCTTCTGGTCTGTAAGAAGTGAAACGGTACATTGCCACCATACTGTGGTCACATTTGAGGCATTCGAGGCAGTAACGCATGTAGTTGTACTTCAGTGCGTGTTCTTTGTGTTGCCAACAACCCAGAGCACCCTCATTGATTTTTGTTTTGCAGGAGAGCACACAATAATTGTGAGATTGATAGTATGTGCTACTTTGCATCTGATGCTCCTGTGTAGCCACTGCATCAAATTAAGCAACTGCAGACACTCCGAGCTTGGACATACTTCAGTTTTCATCAACTGTATTAGAAACCTTCTATCAGGATTCAAGGAAAGAATTTGGTCTTAAATTCTTTTTTATAGCAATCTAGTTAATATCCTTTTTAATGAACCTTTTAAATCAGATTAATCAGGTATTTATGGTTAATGAGGTAGAAATTACATGCAACAGCAGCTATGTTTTTTACCAAAATGAACAAGTATTGACTAACAACAGATAGCAAATTATAGGCTAGGTTGTTGTCTGAATCAAAATACATCCAGATAAATTGCTGAGAGCAATAAATTGTCCATTACTTTACAGGATTAAAAGCTTAAGATTTTCATACTGCACATGTACTGTGCTTTGCTATTATTTCAGAACAGAGAATGATACATTGATGGTAAAACCATTGAATAAAATAAACAAAAACAAGACTGAAGTTCTTACCAGGAATTTTTTTGGCCCAACCAATCATGTGAACCAGCTCTTTGTCTGCCAGTTTTGTCAGGGACATCATCATGGAGGCCTCTGTGAACGGCTTGCTGGGACGACTCACCAACACATTGGGAGGCTCCGCTTCAAGTAATGTTAAAACAAACTGCTCCGGACTGACTGTGCTGAGCAGGATCTCTTTTACGCGGGTTGCCGTCTCAGTGTATTTCTTAGCTTTGCCAATGCAATGTACCTGATCTTCTGAATTACGATGGCGACGCAGAATCCGATATCCACAGCGTTCTCTTCTTGAGCCTGACACGAGAGGCACATGATTGCATTGAAGTATTTTCCTCTCAGTGATACATGATGTAAATACAAATGTTTGGGGAGAAGGAGATAAACCCTTTAATATTGGATGTTCCTATGTTGAACATCAAGTTTCAGAATTTCTAGAGCATTCAGCATTGACTTAGCTTTGTTTCCACTTCATATGAGGCTTTTGTTTATTCTACTAAACAAAAAATAATGTTGAAAAATATTTATTTTTGAACTCCAGCTAACTCACTTTAAAAGTCCATGGGAAAACTCACATTGACATCAAAAAGCGATAAATCAGGTCTTTAAATGCAAATAAAGATATTTGTTTGCAAATTCTGTTTTAGATGTAAACTGGGGGAAGAAATGACTTCTGAAAGTCTGGGTCATGATACAGAGTAAATACCTCATCCAGGAGCAGAGCTGGGCTTCACTGCTAGCTGGGTGTTCAGCTAGGGACTGAGATGCAACCCATTTCACCCTGAGTCCCATTAAGCCAGCAGGAGTTTCCCCAAAGTGAATTCAGATATCTGCAACTAGAAGGAGCAAGCCCCCTGTTTGGAGTTCTGCATGCAGAATGTTGTTTCTGTTGCAAATAGCAGTCCTTTAAATTTCTGGAATTAATTTATTGTTCATTCTGATAACACTGAACATTCTCCCATTCCCTGTCAGTGCTGTTGCTGGGACCACTGGTATCTGTTCTTGCATAGCTGCCATGGAAAGAGTCTGAAAATATCTCCAAAAACGAGGTATGGGGATTTGCTAAAACATTCATCTATGGCTTCTACTTCCCTTCAGCATATTCTATAACAAGGACTATCTTTACTGATTTACAAATAATCCTTGGCAGTAACTGATGTGTAAGATTGTACCATATTAAAAATCAGGATATTTAAAAACATTAAGTTGCTGAAGAAATCCTTAGACTGGAATCCTCCAGCACTTACCATTTTTAATATCACAGCTAAATTATCCTTTAAATCTTTTAGGACTTAACTTTTTGTGCTGGTCATCAATACTTTTACTGACACATGATACTCAAAGGCTGAATTTTCGCAGATATGAAAATGCCTGTGCTAACATAAATCTATACCGGACCAACATTTATTATTGCACACATAGAGACCATGGAGTCTTAAAGCATAAGAAGTTGTCTCATTTGGTTTCAGTCCCACAACAAATTTGACAAAAAGCATCCTTTCTGCTATTATCTTGACATTACTACACTTATGAAGTCTTTTTGGTGTGTTGCCTAAAGACTTCGTGCCCTGGTCATAGACCCTGGTTCTTCTTCATTAGGGCATGTGATTAAAGGCTTCATAAAGTGTGTGAAGACAAAGAAGCAAAGGAATGATGATGGAAGAATCCCAAGGATCTAATCAGTGACAACAAGCACACTGACTAGGCTGCTCTCATGGCTATCAAAGGAGAATGATCAGCCTGTGGTCCGGGCATGACACCCAGCAGATAAGTCGACAGGAGAGTTTGTACACAAGGTCCCTGAAAGAACAGAGGATCCAGAGGCCAGCTACTGGATAACACTGACTTTCTAAAGCCACTTACTGGCAGGATCCATAGCACATGTGTGTTTCTGTGACCATCTGTGTGGGAGAAGGTCTGGGTACCCGCAAATGGGGTGATGCTGCAGACCCACAGGCCATAAACTGAGGAGATATGGGGATCCAAAGGCCAACTATTTGACAGACTGTGTCTAAACCCAGCTACTGGAAGGGTCTGTATCGTGTAAATGCATATATTTTTCACTGCATGCGTTCGCATGAGTGCTATATTTTCTGTCTGCACTCTCATCTCTGCGGCTGACTGTGGATACAGGTATGGGGTGTGTATGTGCCTAATAACAATACACACTCAGACTTGCTACTGGACCTAGGGACATGGCAATGTGGCATTTTCCCTTCTGTCAAGCTACTGGATTCAGCAGTTCCTACCATTCTTCATCCATATCCATCAGAGTTACATAGAATATGAGTTGTCTAAATTCGAGCCAGGCAATGCAGTTCTGGCCCTGGGTTTCAGTTAGCAAAGAGGTCAAAACATAAGCCAAATTAAACATAAAGGGAATGGGGCACAAAAAAATAATTTCAGATGCATTGAAAGGCTTTGTCTTGCTAAATAAGGTGTTGGGTGAATGCAGACTCTTGGTGGCTCCTCAGATGAGGTGGCTTTTCAGGTCATGGTCCTGTCTTGTCTTCGTCAGCTATCAAGCACTATTTGAGTCAACCCATGAGAAGGGTGTGATGCAAAGGCCAATTGGGTACAACCTGAAGGCACCGAAAAGACTGGATAAGGACAAAAAGTCTGCCAGGACTTTAAGGATGTGGAGCTTTCAAGTGCACGTTGCTCTCATCCACACTTTCTGCGTGTTCAGTAAACCACCTCAGATGTGAAAGAGAACAGGATGACCATTAAAGAAGTCCTTAGTATTGGAGAACACCTTCTATCCGGAAACCCAAGAGACTGGAGAGTACAAATAGGCAAAGCTGGTTCAATGAAAAAGTCTGCCAGGACTTTAAGGATGTGGAGCTTTCAAGTGCACGTTGCTCTCATCCACACTTTCTGCGTGTTCAGTAAACCACCTCAGATGTGAAAGAGAACAGGATGACCATTAAAGAAGTCCTTAGTATTGGAGAACACCTTCTATCCGGAAACCCAAGAGACTGGAGAGTACAAATAGGCAAAGCTGGTTCAATGAACAGACCTCACTGTTCAGTAAACCACCTCAGATGTGAATGAGAACAGGATGACCATTGAAGAAGTCCTTAGTATTGGAGAACACCCTCTATCCGGAAACCCAAGAGACTGGACAGTACAAATAGGCAAAGCTGGTTCAATGAACAGACCTCAGGCATGGAGGAATCCAAGAGGAACAGGGATTTGGATCTGGAAGCATTATCAGATGGAAGTCCAGCTTAAAGTCTGCACCACTTTGGGAAAGATGGTTTTGCATCCTTAAAAGGAATACAGATAGGATGAAATGGGTTGGGTACTGACAGGGCATTTGCACAAATAATGGACTGAAGGAAAACAATCAATTATTTGCAGAACCAAGTGCTTGGCTGAATGACATCTACCTAGAAGTTGCCAGAGCAGTTGAAGAGCAAAGGGAAAGATAACATACCAGCAGGGACAATCAGAGCTGGAGACTCTACCATCTTATCACAGATTCATGAAATCAGACTTGATGATATCCAAAAAAAGGTTACCTGCAGAACTACAGAAGTCACAGAGCAATTTCTTCAACCATTTGTCTGGGCAAATCCTTTCTTCCTGAGAGAGTCAAAGGACAGTGAGGCATAGACTAATTTCTACTAAGACACTTGAATGATGTAGTGAACTCTGTTCTAAGCCTCATTTTGGACTAATGTACAAAGGTCAAGAGCAGAATCTTAAAGTGCCTTGTCAGCTTCAGAAAAACATCAGAATGGCACAGTGGACTGCAGACTGCTCTGAAGTCATGTCTTGCACAGAACGTATGTAAATATTTTCCATCAGGGAAGACAAAGAGGAAAGCTTGACAGTGAGCTAAGCAACTGGAACTAAAGTACGACTGGAGAGAGATGAGGGAATACCTAGGTACCAAGGTGGTCTACCTACAGAGATCTCCATGGCTCTGATTTCCATGTGAATGTGCATGGTAGAGACCACAACCACCAGGAGAGAACTGAACTAAAGCAAGAAGCAACACCTCGCATAGTTTCCACTATTTAGAAAGGTCAAGCACATTGAACTTGGGCATCTTGAAGGACGGAACAAGAAAAATAGCACAGAGGGACTAAAAGAGATACGGAGATACAGGGGAGAGGAGAAATTTTCTTGGGCTATAAAAATACTGATTGCTCCACAACACACATGGTTTTAATTCTCCAGTACCTGGTGGAGCTGTGAAGCCCCCAAAAAGAAGATACACAAATAGCAGTCTTTTAATTAAGCCCATGTAAAAGTTGTTCAGTTAGGGAAAATCTAAAATGATAAAGTGTTTTTATCTAAAACAATAAAGTCAGAAAACCTACTGGTTTAAGAGGGAGCTGAGGAGAGGAGCAGAGGCCTGAGGAGACAAGGACGAAGAAATTCCTGCAGTTTGGACCTGCCAGAAGCAACCTGTGGTCAAGCAAGCACTTGCAACCAGCTCATTGACCCCAGTTCAGTTCCTGTCACTGAAGTGAGCGACGTGCACTCTTGTGGGACTCCACATCCTCTGCTCAGCTGTCCTCAGCTCTGTTACACTGTCACCCAGACTTTTCTGTGGCACCAAAAATACCTGAGTTATCCTTTCCAATTCACTGTTGTAAAGATTTTTAAATACCAGTTTGTAGCCTATCCAAAATATAAACACACAGGTAAGTGACCAGGTACTTTAATGAAGACCAAAGAAATCAGTAATATTTTTAAAAATATTAAAAAATAGTAGTCTAGCATCCTGTTCTAATTGATACAATCTTGTACAATTTTCATCTGCACAGCTCTACTCCATGTTCCACCTTAAAATAATTCAGTCAGGTTGTGATACTTATGGACAATATTAGAGGTCTCAATACTTGTGGAGGGTTCTGACTGGGAAATAGCAAGCCCTTTTAAATTACTTTAGGTGATCTACCTAAATCAAGTTTCATATATAACCAGTACTTATTAAAAAAAATGCTCCACTTAAAACATAAGAACACTTTCCTGGGGTGTTGTGACATTTCTACATATAAAAAACTTGTTACTAAAAAAAAAAATGTAGCTGGTGACAAAAAAAGGGGGGAAAAAAAACCCCAGACAAACCAGATTCTGAATTATTGTTTGTACTTTTTAATCACTATATATTGCCAAAGCAGTCAAAGGCTGGTTTGTTGAGCAGAGTGCATAAAACACAGCTCGTCAATAATTACAAGAGATATCATTTATTTCCACATTAAAATTTATTCTGCTTGTATTAAAAAAAAAAAGAAAAAAGAGTGCATTGTAAGATTACACAATTAAGAAAACAACACTTA